GGAGGGAACTGGATCATAACCCTTGGCTAGCAAAAATGGTGCCTCCTCTTCAGGAAGGTGGGAACTGGATCGTAACCCTTAGCTAGCAAAAATGGTGCCTCCTCTTCAGGAAGGTGGGAACTGGATCATAACCCTTGGCTAGCAAAAATGGTGCTCTTTATAATCGTAACCCTTAGCTAGCAAAAATGGTGCCTCCTCTTTATGAAGCAGGGAACTGGATCATAACCCTTGGCTAGAAAAGAAACTGTGCAATGGACACTGATACAGACTTCAAGTATGCTTTTACTGAAGGGTGGGATTCATATCTTTCCCCTGATCTGAAACTAGTGAATTGCCATGTTCATTCAAAACAAATTCTTCCCTCAATGTATGTCCCTTTGAGTTTTTGCAAAATCATTTCTACAAACCAAACCTGAAAAAATATGACATCTTTAAGTCAATGATTGACAACTTTTCAAAAATATTTTTTCAAAGTTTTAGAAAGTCGTAATAACATGTATTAATTGGCTTTTCTTATAAGCTAGACAAAAAGCTTCTTAAAGTTAAAGGTAACAATATTGAAGCTACCCAATTAGACCTTATCTTAGAAAAAAAGCTTTGAATTTTCATTCATTTTTTTTTTAAATATTCTTTACTTCGTGAATGATTACTTTACAATGAAACTGATTATTGCAAATTGAACTGCATTGCATTCCTTAGAAGGTCATCTATTGTCAAAACTGTAAACAGGTGAGGGAGTGCATCAATTTAGTTATTAATACCTGTGCATACCATATGATCTTCTCCATGTTCTCACATCTCCAAATTGGTATTAATTACATGTAGTCTGTTACTTATGTAATAAATTTCTATTAAATATTCCCTTTCAGAAATTTTTAGTTGCATGAATACATTCAAATTTTTAAAAGTAAAAATACTGCATTATATATTAAACTTGACATGGGGTATCCAATTCAATCATTCAGCCAGTTACAAGAAAAACCACAATGCAAAAAAAAAACAAGTACCTGAATTCAGATATTCAAGGTTGGGCTGAGGTAATCACATGCTTCATCCATCATCAGCAGGAAAGACCTCACTGGGTTTGTAATTGATCCCTTCCCTTCCCTTACACTGATCTAATCACAATGGATCATCCAATTAAAATAAATTTATAGTTTACTTATTTATATTTATTCATGTCAAAAAACTACTTGTAAATCCTGCACGCAGCTGCACTAAGAGTGCATAAGTTAATAAGTTCATGCCATTTCTTTCATTTTATCATAAAAGAATGCTAAATAGACATTGTTATGTCTCATTGCAAGCCCCCCTCCCCCAATCTTTTATGCATACATGTCAAATCTGTGTAAAGTCACTTTGAAATCTCAAATTAACTAAATCCATAAAAGAACATTATTTGAACTTTGGTGGACAGTTGTCTCATTGGCAATCATACCTCATCTCCTTATTTTTATATACAAATAAATGGAGAATGTGTCCATGGGACACAGATGATGCCCCCGCTTGCATTTAACTTTTTATAGGGACATAACTCAAGAACAGTTAAAGTGATGCCACCCAAATTCAAACCTGATCTGTGTTTTGTGGTAATAAGCATTGTGTATACAAGCTAGTTTCATAACATTTGGTTGAGGCAAAACTAGAATTAGAGAACAGAAACCAATTTCATGACGTATGTACGTACGTACAGACAAGGTAACATTTAATGACACCTCCGTTGCGGCAGGGGCATAAAAATCATCTTAATAAAATTTTGCAAAAAACACATCAATTTTGACTTAAATGTGTTTCATTAAGAATAAAAATTCATCCCCCTTTTCGTAATTAAAGTACAAGAACTTTAAAGATATATACAAACTACAATTTGGACATGTATGCAATCTTTAAAACAAGAAAGGAGCTTTCTTCCATTAGTCTTACATGTACCATGGCCATGGAATTAATATGTAATTGAAACTGATAAAATTATCTTGAACTTATTGTACAATATATGGTGTGAAAGATTGAATGAACAATTGTAATGTCAGTTCTATTTATGTCACATACTGAATATATCTATTATGATCATGATAATCCTCCTCTTAATTAGCAAAATACCTAATTTCAGAAATTATAATTCATTCATTATCTTCCCCCACTCCCCCATTAATTCTTATACAACATCTTGCAGGTATGTTTTGGAATGTTTATCACCTGACAATATACCTGTAAAAGTAATTAGTTTCACCCCATTTATTTTTATCAAATAAAGCAGATACCTTTAAATAGCTAGTCCCAGACATTGATGTCAACACTATACTGTCAGAGTAAACAGTATTATGTATTAAACATGTTAAAGGGAGGGAATATCCAATTGTCTTTTGAATACACAATTTGAAAGATATGAAGGTTTTCAAATAAACTTAAATTATGCAACAATTTTTAAATTTAACAGTCATAATATGCAATGACACCATGAAAAAGTTAGCTATATTAAATAAAGGATTTAAAGTATATAATTTTTTTAAAGCAAATACATATGCAAGTTTAGCTACATTTGTAACATGCAGTATTTGAAGTAATAATATGTCTGTATGTCACAACAGGTATAAGCAATGATAAGTACACATAGTATTATCAATGTTTAATAATGTTAATTCAATTCTGCACTTTGAAGAGTGAAAGACAAATGGTGACATATTTTGGATTTACTTACGTTTTGTTACAATAAAAATGTTTTCCTATTTTACTAAGGCTTGATTGTATGTGTATTGCCCGTGTTGTTAAAGGATTTGAAAACTGATGAAGTAATATATAATTGAATTTTGAAAGACTGATCATCAATTTCATATCCTATTTTACACATTTAGTATCTAAGATTTACTTTTTCCATTTTTTTTAGGGTAAGGAGGGAGGGAGTAAAATAGAACACTTATTGAGTATTTACTATCAGGGTTCTCACTCAGGATTTTTGAAGGCGAGTCCAGGGACTGGTCATTTTTGGTCATGGTGAGTTCAACAGTAAGAAGAAGATATTTTATCAATGTTTATTGCAATATAATTTATTGTCTTAGTCTCCATGACCTAATAGAGCAATGAAATGAGATCAAATTCAGATTACTTTTAAACTTTTGCTACATGTATAAAATGATATGTGTGTTCAGTTTATACAAAATATTTCAATCTTAATGCATCTTTGGACTCATGATCACCAGTTTTAAAAATGGTGAATCCAGACAGATTTTCATGAGTCCAGGACTCATGGACTCGCCTTAGTGAGAACCTTGTACTATCTGGTACATATATTTTACACAGCTCGTTTGAATCGTTCTATATTGTGTTTCCATTAATACACATATTGATAAAACTTGAAAAGATGTCAAAACTAGATTATGTATATGTAATAACAAGATTATGTATATGTAATGATTAACAAACCATAACTTTAACACATTTTACACCAGATTCTTACTGTTTCACCCTCCAGGAAATTTTTTACTTGTCAAATTTTATTAATGATTGAAGCTTAAGGCCGTACTTAAAATTTTGAAGGACTTTTATCATGTTTATATACTGATCTTCACATTGTAGTTTTTTGGATAATAATGTCTGAAAATATACTGTGCAGATTTCTCATGTTCCAATACAAACTGCACTTAAGTTTTTGAAACTGATCAGCTAAATAAGATTCTCCATGACAGATGCAGATCCAGGAAAAGGAGGGGGCCAGAACCCCAAATATTAGGAAACATTTGGAGTGGGACATGTAAAAAGTCTATGCATTAACCATATATGTTATATAATGTAGCTCCATAAGGGGTGCCTCTGCATATCATTATAATCTAATATGACATTGCTTAACATGCTTAATACAATCTAAAACTTTCCTGGTTTGTACTAATCTTTTTATTATAATCATGATTATTGCTATCAGCAATTTAGAATTGTTTTACTTTTTGGTCAACTATGACAATGGACTGATTTAGAAATGGTGATGCATTATTATTAGTACATGTATTGCTGGCTACATGTATATTGGTCAAAGTGTTATATATAATTTACAAGGACGCTGAGTTGCAGCTGAAATAACTTTGGACATTGTTGGACACAAGTTTGTTTAAATTCGAAAAATATATAAAGAACTTGGTGATTCAATATATATTTTAGCTTGGGCATTAAAGCTATTTGTCTACAAGTAAATTAAAAGCATACATTAAGCAAAAACATTGGTTGGATCAAAATAAAATATAGTTTGTTTCTCCTCGGCCAACCAACCGCTTGTAAAATTTTTCATTTTATTTTTTGCAACAAAACTTTTTTGTTTCTGGTGAATTCTAATAAGCTCTGTGCACATATGATTGAATTCATGTTCCAATACTGAAAGGGTACATGTAGGATTCAGAGGTCGACTTAACAAAATTTAAAAGTATGGCCAATAGGGCCAGTTAGAGCGTAAATTTACTGGCTCAACTCAAATAAAATTTGCCCTAATATTCTAATAATACTATCTAAGTGAAAATATAGTCAAATGTAATGGCCAATGGGGCCAGTTGTCTTTAAGTTCAACTAGCCCTATCGAAATTCTACTGGCCTTGGGCCAGCGGGCCAGTGCTTAAGTCGACCCCTGGGATTTAAGTTTATATATCATCTACTTTATATGTACAATGTACATGAGGAAAAAAAAAAGATAATTTTTATCATCTTGGTGAAAACTTCACACATATTATGTTCATCAGTAAATATCAAATGTTGAGAAATTTGTATAATCTTGTACATGTTCTTGTACGAGTATGAATCAAAGAGGACTAAATGTTGAGTGACATTTGTCAATGTTTGTGATGACCTTCTGTCACGCCAAGTTTGTGCTTTTGGTTCCGTCTTTTCTTGTATATATGAACATGATGAAAAAAAAAACAATGTTTTACCTACATGACCTATCTCCCTACTTACCCTCTTTAGAGAAGTGAGGTATGAAGAGAGGTTTAAATTAAATGTAGTCTTGTTTAATAAAAATATACCTCTCCCATATCCATGAGAATGTTTGGCAAAACTATTGACAACTGCATCTACTGCTTCCTTTAATACTGTCTTTGCTTTTGCCTCATTTGGATGATTATGATGAGCACTCATGCCAGCAATGGCAGCTTCCATGATCTGTGATGGCATTGGTCTGTCTGTGCCTGGGCCAACTTCGCCATGGGCACCTTGCTGGTTTTGTGGTGATCTGCTGTTAGGACCTGGTCTTGGTGCTGGTACAGGCTTCCCTCTGGAATATGATGCCATGATTATTTTCTACTTACATGAAGCTTATTTACCGACATTATTAAAGTGTTTGATGTCTCAATGGACTGTTTTGGGAAAATATCCAAAATGTCACGTTGAGTCACATAATTTTTGATTTCACAAGTTTCCAATTTTAGTAATAAAACAAAGCCACGATGCGTCATCAAATGTTAAAAAAGAATAAGAACAATGTAAGTTCGTTGTCAATCTTCTACAGATGCCGCCCTGATTTGATAAACTATCAATGTTTTGATGATAATCCGGAGCTACTGTAGAACACCATGATTGAATTTATTTTGATGACCTCTGACCTTAATAGTTACTGCGGAACTAAAGAATTCCAAACATTTATCATATTCATATTTCTGCCGATTACAAGTATCGATTGACGTGAATCGTGAAAGTTTCGGTTACTTCATTCCATCACTAGTTTGCCTTGCTGAACAATAAAACAATAAACAAATAATAAAATTATTGTAAGGGGAGATAACCACAATACGCGCCAAAATTGAGATATCACTAATATCCTACAACAATTAACAACAACTATCAACCGCGAGGAACATACGTTCAAATTTTAGTTAAAACAAACAAAGAATTCTCATAATGGAGGAAAAGCTTTTAGGTGAAAAGTACAAGCCAGAATTCACAAAAATGTGTACTGTTAAGAATTTTGTTGAAAATGTTGACTAAGTTTCACAATCTGTAAAATTTATAGAAATTATCCAAATGTACACAACAATAAGATAAGTCTATACACAATTCATATGGATTGAAAACTGGAGTAGAAAAAAATCCCACAAATTCAGATAAATGTTGAAAATTTTCATAGTTTCAAGATCTTCAAAACTTGTACCAGAAGTGATCTTTTTCTTTATTTTATATTATAACAAGAATAAATTTATGATGATCCCACTAAACATTTAATAAAACTTTCTTCTCATATTTCATTTCATTATTTTGTTATTTTGTTAGCTTTTATTCATATAATAATGATTTTGAAATCCATAATCCTTAAAAAAAGTTTAAATTTTCCACAACTGGTAGCTTGAAAAAAAGCTTGTAACAGATTTTCTTTTAATATCAGAATATCAATCACAAGGAAAATCTGCAAAAAATACACAAAATCTGTACACAAAGTAAGGTGCACATCTTCAATGTATGTGCAAACATATTAAGAAATTTGAAGGGTGTGGAGGTAAATATTGAATGTAGAGTTGATTACACATTAATAAAATTGGTGACTTCTATTGAAAAGTGACTAAGTTTCAAAATATGGGAAATAATGAAAATATGCAAATTTTATCCAAAAATGAATGCAAAGCAAGGCTCTAGAAAGTTTGAAGGCTGTGGGTTAAAAACTGTATGAGGTGTTGTTTACACAAAATACACTCCTTCCCAGCTACTGTCTACCATTACCAGCCATTCACTTTCCTATTAGCCACTTTGGCACTTCAATAAAACTACTAATGCTATAAGTATAAGCAATATTGTATTTTATACTTTTATATTTTACACTAATGCTGTTAGTATAAATAATATTTTATTTAGAAAGGTAATAAATTAACACGTACATTAATATAATGCATGGATTAGGAAAACTAATGCTAATGACTTGGTGAAGACTTTCTCTATCAATTGGTTAAAAAAAAGTTTACCAATCAACTTTAGATAATGAAACAAACTGTGATCTCGTAAAAAAAATAACTGACCTAAAAAAAAATATTACAGAACAACACTTTCAGTCTAATTACATTAACTTAATTTACTGTTCATTTTAAATATTCGCTTTTGGTATATGTAAATCTGACAATATATATAGGCTGTGGAGTGCTTACAAAGAAATTTTTCATAGAATTTACATTTCCAAGGGTAAACAACTCTGTAAAAATTGTTGATCAACACTGATTTATAACTCATCTGAGACATTACTGATATAAACCATTGTTGAAGTTTCTAACTTCTTTGTCATCTGGTGGAGAGTTGTGTCATTGGCAATCATACCACATTTTCATGTTTTTTTAAACTTTTTTTTTGAAGACTAAATTTAATGTTCAAGACTCATGGTACTACTATAGTCTTTCTGCCACAACTTGTGTTGATTAAGTGATAACAGCATACCTATAATTGTTTCAACAGTTTTGCTGCCTCCATCTGTGTTATAAGGTATACTGGGGACTTTACTAGACTGAATACAAGTAGCCTTTATAGTTAGAGAGACTGGTTTAACCTATTTGCAGTATTTTCAAAATTTCGTCAAAGAGAGACAAAAAACCTATATTCAGGGCTCACACTTCTTCAGATTCATAGAGAGAAATTACTATTTTATGAAACAAGAGTGCACAAGTTGAAATGTCTCGCCTTCTTTACTAACCATTGATTTTATGTTGATAGTCCTAAATATAAACCTTTACTACAAGTAACACATAAACTTAACATTATCCAAGAAAATGAGGTCAAGGTCAGATAAAACAAACGAGAAATACATGAACACCTTACAATCATTCAATAAACCAAACATAGTTGACCTATTGCTTATAGTTTCTAAGAAACAGTCTTAACCAAGAAAACTTAACATTGACCAATGAACCATGAAAATGAGGTCAAGGTCAGATGAACCATGCCAGACAGACATGTACACCTTACAATCAATTTATGCATTAAATATAGTTGACCTATTGCTTATAGTATCTAAGAAACAAACTTCACCATGAAAACTTAACATTGACCAATGAACCATGAAAATGAGGTCAAGGTCAGATGATACCTGCCATACAGACATATACACCTTACAATCCTTCCATACAACAAATATAGTTGATCTATTGCTTATAGTTGAAAAACAGACCAAAACACAAAAACTTAACACAGAGAAATGAACTGTGAAAATGAGGTCAAGGTCAAATAAAACCTGCGAGACTGACATGAACATCATAAAATATTCCCATACACCAAATATAGTTGACCTATTCCATATAGTATTAGAAAAAAAAACCAAAACTCAAAAACTTAACTTTGACCACTGAACCATGAAAATAAGGTCAAGGTCAGATGACACCTACCAGTTGGACATGTACACCTTACAATCATTCCATATACCAAATATAGTAGACCTACTGCTTATAGTATCTGATATATGGACTTGCTAGACCACGAAAACTTAACCTTGTTCACTGATCCATGAAATGAGGTCGAGGTCAAATGAAAATTGTCTGACGGGCATGAGGACCTTGCAAGGTACGCACATACTAAATATAGTTATCCTATTACTCATAATAAGAAAGAAATTAACATTACAAAAAATGTTGACTTTTTTTTCAAGTAGTCACTGAACAATGAAAATAAGGTCAAGTACAATGGACATATGACAGACGGAAACTTCGTAACATAAGGCATCTATATACAAAGTATGAAGCATCCAGGTCTTCTAGCCTCTAAAATATAAAGCTTTGAAGTTAGCTAACGCCGCCGCCGCCGGATCACTATCCCTATGTCGAGCTTTCTGCGACTTTGTCGCAGGCTCGACAAAAACAGATTCATACAAACATATTCAAAGGCAAGAAAAGATTATGCATGGAGTAGTAATGACATTTCCTTATGGCTTCAATGCCATGTACGATTAAAATGTCACAAAGTAAGCTTAGATGACATTTAGTGTTACTTTTATAATAACAATTTGGCTACCATTAACTTATACTCTAAAAATACTGTGGCAGCATTTATTTTCATGGATTGTCAAACAATTGTGTGTTTGTGGACATTTTATTTTGTGGTTTTGCGAAAGTCTAAATACAAGCTTATAGACTATTTGTTCTTCGTTGAACTTTTCAACTCGTGGTGTATCTATACCTACGAAATCCACGCAAATTTTTAAGCCCCTTTGTCACTATCAATGTTTTCTTGTACAAGTTTTCTTGGTCAAATTTTTTGATGGATTTTTTTATAGTGACAACCGTCAAAGAAAACTTGATCAAAATGATCAAAAACTTTGACAGATTTGGATGGAATAGAATCTCATCCTATTTTTCATAAAACTTGGATGAACTTGGTGGGGAATTATTCAATCCCAGTGCAGTTTTTTCTTTGACCAGGTTTTGGATGGAAAACTTTGATAGTGACAACAGATGACTTGGACCTGGTTTACCTGGTCAAAGAAAATTTTGACCAAGTTAACTTTGGTAGTGACAACTGGACTTTATACCATTAATTATAATGAATCCACAGTACACCAAGTATGACTGTGGTCAGTTTTTGGTTGTAATTAGCCAAACAACAGTTTTATGAAAGTTAATGGATAACATATGCAAAGTGATAGAGTAAGCTTAAATTGACCTTTTTACTTATGAACCAAATGGTAGCCTTTATTGGATTTATATTTTTTTAAATCTGACTTTTTCTCCTATATAACCTATCAAAATTAGAATAAAAATCATATTTCATCAAACCTTTAAAATTTTAAAATTGTACTCAAAAGCCTCTTTATTGGAACAGTTCAGGTTGATATGTTGATAACTAAACAATACTGTAAGCAAGACAATTTCATCCTTTGCGTTACGAAAGGAAACTTCATTCTTCTGAGAAGTTAAACTGGGCAATTTTGCAGATATACATTGAGTAGTTATTTTTCAACAAAAAACCTACAATGGTTCAAGTTAAGACTGTTGATCAAGGAGATGACAAATATTTAATTACAGGTGAGATAAAAGGAATCTTATGTGTCCCCTTAGAACATGATAGTTGGCATATCTGCCAAAAAGGCCAATCAGTTTGAAAAAAAAGAGAGCACACACTGTAATGCCATGCCTGCTTTACAAATCATATTTGAATTTGTATTGAATGTCTTTTAGATAAAGGTTTGATCATTAGTTTCATATAAACTTATCATTATTATTACTCATTATTAATGCAATGATCCATGTAATGAGGTCAAGGTCAGATGAACCTTGCCAGACAGACATGTATATCTTACAATCATTCCATACACCTAAAATAGTTTGTATATTTTTTATAGCAACAAACCTAACCACAAAAAATTAACATTGACCAATGAAACAAACAAAGGAGGTCAAGGTCAGGTGATACCTGCCAGACAGACATGTACACCTTATAATCAACTCATCCACCAAATATATTTTACCTATTGCTTTTGATATCTAAAAAAAAAGACCAAAATACAAAAATTTAAAATTGACCAATGAACCATGAAAATGAGGTCAAGGTCAGATGAAAACTGCTAGTTGGACATGTGCTGTTGCTGAACCAAGAAAATTATGTGAGGTTCAATGGACTTATGACTGACGGAAACTTTGTAACATGAAGCAACTCTAATAAGGTATGAAGTCAAAAAACAAAATCATGTATTTTTACTTTTTAATGTAGTTCAAATGCTTTATTCCTGATACATTATCTGAAAAGTGTTGTTTTTTTTAACTTCTTTTACAGGTTCAATTTAAAAAAAATTGTCATTCTCTGGTTCTTTTACAGGTTCAAATAAAAAAAAATGTCATTCTCTGATTCTATTACAGGTTCAATTAAAAAAAAAATGTCATTCTCTGGTTCTTTTACAGGTTCAATTAAAAAACAAATTGTCATTCTCTGGTTCTCTTACAGGTTGAATTAAAATAAATTGGCATTCTCTGGTTCTTTCACAGGTTGAATTAAAATAAATTGTCATTCTCTGGTTCTTTTACAGGTTCAATTAAACTAGAGGCTCTCAAGAGCCTGTGTCGCTCACCTGTATTTACTGATGCTTTGGAAATCATGTAAAATAAGGTTAAAATCATAATTAATAGTATTAGATATTAGATATTATAATGATATCTAAGATAATAACAAAAAACTGCAAAATTTTTGTAAAATTACTAACTCAGGGGCAGCAACCCAACAACGGGTTGTCGGAATCGTCTGAAAATTTCAGGGCAGATAAATCTCAATCTGATGAACATTTTTGCCACCTGTCAGATTTGCTCTAAATGCTTTAGTTTCAGAGATATAAACCAAAAACTGCATTTTCCCCTATGTTCTATTTTTAACCAAGTTGGCCATGATGGTTGGAAGGCGGGGTCATCGGACAAATTTTTTAAACTAGATACCCTAATAATGATTATGACCAAGTATGGTTAAATTTGTCTCAGTAGTTTCAGAGAAGAAGATTTTTGTAAAAGATTACAAAAATTTACGAAAAATTGTTAAAAATTGACTATTAAGGGCAATAACTCCTAAAGGGGTCGACTGACAATTTTGGTCATGCAACTTATTTGTAGATCTTACTTTGCTGAACATTATTGCTGTTTACAGTTTATCTCTATCTATAATAATATTCAAGATAATAACCAAAAACTGCAAAATTTCCTTAAAATTACCAATTCAGCGGCAGCAACCCAACAACATGTTGTCAGATTTGTCTGAAAATTTCAGGGCAGATAGATCTTGACCTGATAATCGGTTTTATTCCATGTCAGATTTACTCTAAATGCTTTGGTTTCAGAGATATAAGCCAAAATCTACATTTTACCCCTATGTTCTATTTTTAGCCATGGCGGCCATCTTGGTTGGTGGCGTGGTCATCAGACACATTTTTTAAACTAGATACCCTAATGATGATTGTGGTCAAGTTTGGTTAAATTTGGCCCAGTGGTTTCAGAGGAGAAGATTTTTGTAAAAAGCTAACGACGACGGATGACGACGACACCAACGACGACGGACGACGGACGCCAAATGATGAGAAAAGCTCACTTGGCCCTTCGGGCCAGGTGAGCTAAAAACAAATTGTCATTCTCTGGTTCTCTTACAGGTTCAATTAAAATAAATTGTCATTCTCTGGTTCTTTTATAGGTTGAATTAAAATAAATTGTCATTCTCTGGTTCTTTTACAGGTTCAATTCAAATAAATTGTCATTCTCTGGTTTTTTTACAGGTTCAATTCATATAAATTGTCATTCTCTGGTTCTTTTACAGGTTCAATTCAAATAAATTGTCATTCTCTTGTACATCTACAATAAGATTTCTGTAAATGTCATCATCTTTCTATAACTTTCAACAGGTATTTTCTGTCATCAGAATTTGTTTTTATTTCATTGTTCCAGCTCTGCTTTCTCTTATACAACTTGAGTCTTCAACAAAACATACATACAGGAAGGTGATGTCAGCTGGGTTTTTTACCTGAGAAGAAAGAATTATTTACTGTGAATATTATTCAATCTTAAAAATAACATTTTATTTCTATAGGAAAGCTAAAAATATTGTTCAACAATAATCAGTGTTTAGCTGTCTATGCAGTATGGGTTTTGCTCATTGTTGAAGGCCGTACAGTAACCTATAGTTGTAAACTTCTATATTATTTGGTCTCAGGTGGAGAGTTGTCTCATTGGCAGTTATACAACATCTTCTTATTTTTATATTTAGGCCACAGTAGTTTTGCAATTTCTTCATAGTTTCAGCTGAATGGTCTTCTAAAGAATTTCGAAACAGCAGATTTAAATTTTTTTTTTATCGATTTCTAAAAGAGAAAAGAACAATATAAATTTCATGCAACATTCAGCAAAATGCAAAGTCTTTAAGGTAAGAAATATAATCTCACAACCATGTTAACAAACTCTGGGAGATTTAAGAGCTTGACACACTAAATAGACACCTGTCTTTTGTTGAAGATTAATGTTGACACACTAAATAGACACCTGTCTTTTGTTGAAGACTAATGTTGACACAAAAAATAAACACCTGTCTTTTGTTGAAGACTAATTTTGACACACTAAATAGACACCTGTCTTTTGCTGAAGACTAATGTTGACATACTAAATAGACACCTGTCTTTTGCTGAAGACTAATGTTGACATACTAAATAGACACCTGTCTTTTGCTGAAGACTAATGTTGACATACTAAATATACACCTGTCTTTTGTTGAAGACTAATGTTGACATACTAAATATACACCTGTCTTTTGTTGAAGACTAATGTTGACACACTAAATAGACACCTGTCTTTTGTTGAACACTAATGTTGACACAAAAAATAAACACCTGTCTTTTGTTGAACACTAATGTTGACACACTAAATAGACACCTGTCTTTTGCTGAAGACTAATGTTGACATACTAAATAGACACCTGTCTTTTGCTGAAGACAAATGTTGACATACTAAATAGACACCTGTCTTTTGTTGAAGACTAATGTTGACATACTAAATAGACACCTGTCTTTTGCCGAAGACTAATGTTGACATACTAAATATACACCTGTCTTTTGTTGAAGACTAATGTTGACATACTAAATATACACCTGTCTTTTGTTGAAGACTAATGTTGACACACTAAATAGACACCTGTCTTTTGTTGAACACTAATGTTGACACAAAAAATAAACACCTGTCTTTTGTTGAAGACTAATGTTGACACACTAAATAGACACCTGTCTTTTCCTGAAGACTAATGTTGACATACTAAATAGACACCTGTCTTTTGTTGAAGACTAATGTTGACATACTAAATATACACCTGTCTTTTGTTGAAGACTAATGTTGACACACTAAATAGACACCTGCCTTTTGTTGAAGACTAATGTTGACATGCTAAATATACACCTGTCTTTTGTTGAAGACTAATGTTGACACACTAAATAGACACCTGTCTTTTGTTGAACACTAATGTTGACACAAAAAATAAACACCTGTCTTTTGTTGAAGACTAATGTTGACACACTAAATAGACACCTGTCTTTTGCTGAAGACTAATGTTGACATACTTAATAGACACCTGTCTTTTGCTGAAGACTAATGTTGACATACTAAATATACACCTGTCTTTTGTTGAAGACTAATGTTGACATACTAAATATACACCTGTCTTTTGTTGAAGACTAATGTTGACACACTTAATAGACACCTGTCTTTTGTTGAACACTAATGTTGACACAAAAAATAAACACCTGTCTTTTGTTGAAGACTAATGTTGACACACTAAATAGACACCTGTCTTTTGCTGAAGACTAATGTTGACATACTAAATAGACACCTGTCTTTTGCTGAAGACTAATGTTGACATACTAAATAGACACCTGTCTAATGTTGAAGACTAATGTTGACACACTAAATAGACACCTGTCTTTTGCTGAAGACTAATGTTGACATACTAAATAGACACCTGTCTTTTCCTGAAGACTAATGTTGACATACTAAATAGACACCTGTCTTTTGTTGAAGACTAATGTTGACATACTAAATATACACCTGTCTTTTGTTGAAGACTAATGTTGACACACTAAATAGACACCTGCCTTTTGTTGAAGACTAATGTTGACATGCTAAATATACACCTGTCTTTTGTTGAAGACTAATGTTGACACACTAAATAGACACCTGTCTTTTGTTGAACACTAATGTTGACACAAAAAATAAACACCTGTCTTTTGTTGAAGACTAATGTTGACACACTAAATAGACACCTGTCTTTTGCTGAAGACTAATGTTGACATACTTAATAGACACCTGTCTTTTGCTGAAGACTAATGTTGACATACTAAATATACACCTGTCTTTTGTTGAAGACTAATGTTGACATACTAAATATACACCTGTCTTTTGTTGAAGACTAATGTTGACACACTAAATAGACACCTGTCTTTTGTTGAACACTAATGTTGACACAAAAAATAAACACCTGTCTTTTGTTGAAGACTAATGTTGACACACTAAATAGACACCTGTCTTTTGCTGAAGACTAATGTTGACATACTAAATAGACACCTGTCTTTTGCTGAAGACTAATGTTGACATACTAAATAGACACCTGTCTAATGTTGAAGACTAATGTTGACACACTAAATAGACACCTGTCTTTTGCTGAAGACTAATGTTGACATACTAAATAGACACCTGTCTTTTCCTGAAGACTAATGTTGACATACTAAATAGACACCTGTCTTTTGTTGAAGACTAATGTTGACATACTAAATATACACCTGTCTTTTGTTGAAGACTAATGTTGACACACTAAATAGACACCTGCCTTTTGTTGAAGACTAATGTTGACATGCTAAATAGACACCTGTCTTTTGTTGAAGACTAATGTTGACACACTAAATAGACACCTGCCTTTTGTTGAAGACTAATAATGACACACTAAATAGACACCTGTCTTTTGTTGAAGACTAATGTTGACATGCTAAATGGACACCTGTCTTTTGTTGAAGACTAATGTTGATATATTGATGTCTTTTAGTTATTTGTCTCATTGGGCTGCTGTCACATTGACAGGTACCCCATATCTCCTTATTCATATTTTACAGAAATCTTTTTCAAACTTGACTCTGATATTGTAATGGTAAAGTTTCTTTCATATAAATGGGATATGATCTTTTCAATTTTTTACACTGCAGCTTTTTTTGTTTTCCGATTTTTCATTTTTATATTTTCTCACAAAAGCACCACTTTCTATATCATTATATATTTGTGAATACTCAAATACAGCATAAATCATGATTGTGTGAAAATACTGTAGAATTGATATTTTTTTGCATTTTCTTAATACAAATCATCAGCAATTAACATATTATATAAAAATTTGCATTTTAGAATAAAATAAATAGTGAAATAATACATTTTAGATCCTTAAAAAGATGAACAAAAACAAACATAAATGGAAGTAATATAGTTACAATTTACCTAATGATTGTAGAGTTGACAAGACATGCAGAAATTCCTTAGTGATTAGCATATCCAGATGACTGTATGTATCCAAGCCAGAATAAGTAGTCGAGAATCTCATTCCTATCATCTGCTACCAGGTAATCAAATGCCTTTGTGAAATGAATGTGGTTGTCAGCTCCCATAGTTTCTTCAAGTTTTCCATTCTGCTTCATTTCCAGCAATTTGGTGCCAGGAATTTCACAGTATAGAAAAATTAACTGAAAAAGAAAAGAAAACTGTTGATGCAGAGATATGTCTAACTTGTATGTAATTTTGATAGTATAATTTAAATGCTGAAATGAAAATGGCAATACTTTCACATGTAAACTATGCAAAATATTCAAAATTTCAAAGTCAATGAACGTTGCCTGAAGGTGTTAATTGTTTCTTTATAAATTAAATAATGCCGTTAGTTTTCTAAATTGAATTGTTTCACATTTTTCATGACAGGGCTATTTATAGCCCACTATAGGGTACAGGTTTTTCTAATTGTTGAAGGCCTTACGGTTGCTATAATTGTTTACATCCACTTCTTTTGAAATTTGGTGGATAGTTGTCTCATTGGCAATCATACCACATTTCCTTATTTTTATACTGCTGGGCCAAATTATCCCCTGGAAATGAAAAATGCCAATACAATTTAAACTGCAAACTAAATACCATTGACTTATTACAAATGGTTCCCTTCAAACTTTAAGTCTTAAACTTTGGAAATGCTTTAAAGTCAGAAGGGCCAAATAATTTCCATGGATACGAGATTTGCAAAAAGCAATTACAACTGTATACCAAATATCACTACCTCATCATTAGTGTTTTATCTTAAACTGACCTGATAGCAAACTTCAACATGTAAACTATGCAAAAGTTTCAAATGGCTGAGGGGGTTGGCCGATCAATCTTGATGGATATGAGATGTGTAAATTATAGGCTATTGGATGCTTGATATTGATTATTTTGCAAAGAATTCCACTGAAACCAGTGCTAGGGGCCGTCTTCAACTTGCAGTAAGGTGATAGTTTTTTTGGTCCGTGTTGTGGGCCTCACTGTGACTTTGAGATGAAGAACAGCAATACAATTGCAAAATTATGTAAAGTTAAAACTGCAGAATTTTATGTTGAGATACATCAATGTATTTCTAAAACCTATCATATTAATCATGATTTTGATATTTCCATTTAATGTTATATTTAACATCATGAGGGTCTGGATGCAAGGTACTTCATTACTGTATTTTTAATTTTTTAGGCCATTTTTCTCTATTTTATATCTATTTTGCACACTTTTCCCTATTCTTTATATTCTAGCACTCTGTTATTCTCTTATTAATTTTTTTGCTTATTTTTCTCTATTCTTTAATTCTTTAGCTCAATTTTCTGTAGTCTTGGCCCATTGATATCTATTCTGAAACCCCCACCCAGTGCCTCATACTTTATTCTCCTTTAATTGAGGTATTTTTATATTGTTTTTGTAGTAATGTTTTACAATTGATTATAGGATTTAACTCAATTTGCAGGATTATTACCTATGTGTAATTTTGACTGACTCGCTCGCAACTGTATAACATTTCAGTTTTTTTTTATCATATGTAATGTTTTTAAATTAATGCTGGAGTTAACACATTCATAAACACATATATTGAAATTTCTCTTCTGAGAGTCCAAAGATTATATATAGTGTTACAATACTAGCTGTGACATCATAATTCAATCTTTTACAGAATTATAAATGGATTTTATAGTATTTTTTTCCATTACCATAGATTTAAACATCAGATAACATAAAAAAATAAATTAATTTTTGGTCAGTAATCTTCACATTTTCAGATTTGCTTATATGTTACACCTACAACAATAGAAGGAATTATGTTTTCTTGTCAGTGACACCCCTGTCTATCTATTAGTCTAATTGACCAATCATGCATTCATTTGGTTTTGTGGGTATCAAGCTTTAGAGCAAATGCAATGTGATTTCCATTATAATTAATATTTCCAAGGGGCATAACTCTTTAAATATATTTGATCAGAACTTATTTTCGAAAGTTTGAAAGACATTGCTGATATATACCTATATTATAAGTTTCTTAAAATTCTGGCAAGAACTGAACACATGAGAGTGCTAACAATGCAATTTTCCATATAATCAATATTTCCAAAGTCTTTTGTCAATCTGGCAAGAATTGTACAAATGAGAGCGCTAACGATGCAATTTTCCCTATAATTTATGCTTCCAAGGGGCATGTATCTTTTAAAAATAATTGATCAGCACTGATTTTCGAAATTCGTCCAAAACATTGCTGATATAAACCTATGATGTATATAAGTTTCATAAAATCTGGCAAGAATTGTACACGTGAGAGCACTAACAAGACCAGATGGGCGGACGCACGGACAGACAGACGGACAATAAGTAGGTCATAGTGACATTCAAAATAGACGTACAGGAAGAGATGTCATTGATAAACGATAATCAGAGTTTGTTATAAATATATCTTAATGCATAATAAACAAGAGTATCATGTCAGTCATTGTCAGTCTTGAATGAGGGGCCGAATGACCTTTTTCGAAACATCAGGATTAAGCCTTTATTTTTGCAGGAATTCAGGATTGGCCCTTTCTTTTCACAGTAATTCTTAATTTACACTAATCTTGGAATCTGGGAAATAATGCTTAATTTTTCCGGGAATTCAGGATGACACCCCCTCCTACTGCCCCTCTTGAATTGTAATCCATACTTTTGGAATTATTAAAAGTATTTAGGTTAATGGACAAAAAGTGATGAAAATATATCCTTTAAATTCAGAAATTATTGCAATATTCTTTAATGAGAAAAAAAATGACAAGATAATTGTCCAAATCAAGTTTTGAAAAAATATACTTAAGGGTATTATTTCAGGAGTTACATCTGATCTCACTTTGTAACTGGTTGCCAGATATTCACACAAATAAATGAATAAGATACATTTAACTCTGAATTTACAGTTTTTACTACACAAGAGTGCACACGCTGAAATGTCTCGCCTTCTTTACTGATTATTGATTTTATGTTGAAAGTCTTAAAGGGAAAATTCGCGATTTTTCACTTATCATCTTATTATGTTCATAATACCATAAAAAACATATTCACCAAGTTTTATTTGGATATGAAAACTAATAAAGAAGAAAATTGGGAATTATTAATTTTATCTATTCGAACTTCCTGACTTCTGTGACGTAGTTTAAGTCTTTTTGCATGCCGGGAGTTAAATTAATCTCATTTAAGTCTTGTTCATTAACCATCTAATAACGCGATTTAAAGCGCATCGACGACTTTTGGTGTAGCTATTAACCAACTAAAAATAAAGAAATTAAAGTGATAGCCGTGCAACTTTTAAAATTAAATTGTAGGATTTATGTTTTAAGGATTTTTGATACGAATTTTAGTAATAAAAGTAAATCATACAATAGAAAATTTTTATGATTTTTTTTTCCGACAAATTCCTTAAACAAACATATGAAACTGACATGATTGATAGTGTATTAAAAATACATGTTTGTATTCTGACCTTTTTGCTTCAGTCTAGCAAACATTTCCTGCTTGTACTGTGTAAATACTATGTGTATTGTTCTGTGACACTTAGTGAATGTTGAATGCGTGGTTAAACTCAAGGTAATTAAAAGATTAGCATTCTGGAATTCTAATCTTTTGATCTTCACTCAGTGAATTTTAGCCGTCACGGTTCACCGTTCCAGGTGTGAACAACATTTCGTATGAATGATAAACGGGAGTGATAGTTTTAGACACAGAAAATATAAAAAAGAATTAAAATTAATTTAGGGGAGTAATAAGGTGGCACAATAACTGGATAGCCGTTGTATATTTTTATATTTTGCGTAAGCTCAGTTTTAAATGAATTATGACCGCTGACTATTTTTGTAACCATGAAATACTGAATTAATTTAATTGAATAAATTTATAAATAATAATAGCCTTCTAAACACGAGTGTATGAACTAAAAATTGTACTATTTCAAATTAGAATCGATGACCTTGAATATTTGAAATAGATCATTACCAATTGCAATTATATAATTTGGTCCATCCAAAGCGATCTTTATTTACATATTCAGGAATTAATGTTCTCATCAAAATATTTTAAATCTCACAACTCATAAATACTTCAGCTATTTGAAAAAAAGATGTTTAAAAATTTGACAGGAAATTTAAGGTCCTTCTTGGAATGGAATCGAATAATTACGAGTTTTTCGGGGTGTGAAAAACATAAAAAAAAATTATACATAATCGGGAATGTCCTTATTAAAATATTCTAAGTCTCACCTGGGAACAGTATATCTAACAATATATATGTTCCTGGTCTCACAACGTATAATACTTTAGCTATTTGACCAACGATGTTTAAAAAAAAAAGACAGAACCAATTTAATGTCAACTTTCCCTATTTTTGAATGGAGACAGACCGGCGGAATAAATTTCCAATGTGCTTTATATCTTGTACCTTTGCAAGACTTATAATTCATTCATAAACCATGTCTATACCAGAGACATATATACACATATAATTATTAGTCTGTTTTAACTGGCAAGAATACCCTTAAAGCGGACAAGCAGTTTAATTTCTGTTATTTAATACCAAGAAAGAAAAAAAATCCCGAAATTAATTTGATACTTTGATACTGAATATTTTTCCTGAAAAATATTCACATCCCCTTTCGGTCTGAAAATAAGATAAAAATGTGGTATATTGAACATGCAGAAGTGTGAATTAATGTCATAAAACCTTGTTATATCAGAAACCACTATAAATGTGAAACTGTATACGTAAGACCTCATAGGACGACACCTAACCACATGCAGGTAATATACAAGTAGCTCTGTTATACCGGAAATGTCATGGTTAATCACTACCGATACAGAATGTACCAATGCAAAGAAAATTCTGATGATTGTGAAGCATGACAATTCACGATTTTAGAGGAATCTTACATGGTGGATTGCCGGAACGATTTAAATTCTGACTAGATATTTTCTCCATTTAAATCACTGAACTAAAAAAAAAAAACCTACGTCAAAGAACATAATTCGTCTTGTAAATTCTTATAAATAAAACGCTCTTATTTTGTAACTTTCGATAGACTTGACCTCCAACACGCCACCTCCCCCCCCCCCCCCCCCCCCCCCCCCCCCCCCCCCCCCCCAAAAAAAAACAACAACCTGGGAACCATAAGTATATCTAACAACGTTAATGTTCCTGCATGCCCAAATAAAAAAAAAAAAAGAGGAAAAAAAAAAGCAAGAGATGAACGGTAAGTCACATCAGATTCAGATATTTATATAGTTGATGTTGTTAACTAGAGATGCATAGTGACATGTCTCTGCGTTAACTGATAAGAATAACAGGAAAGTATAAACTTGAAAAAAATAGATTGATGATGAATAATATGCAGCACCCCTTTTTATCAAAGCCTACCGTCATTCATGTATTATAATAACTGTCCGTTATTTCTATTAAGAATGACAATTGTACGTGAAATCCTATAGATAGTGAGACTTTTTTTTACCAGATATGCGACTTTTCGTATTTATATTTTTTCTCATGTTACTCTTATTTAATATTTTATGCATAAGTGCAATATTGGGAATGGCTTATTCACCAACAATCTAACGTAATAAATTAATCAACCCTCTAGCTGATCAGACATTAATACGATATTCGTTAATACATTTTTGTACAACTACTATCAGTCTATCCTAAGTGAAGTTTCTTTATTTCTTCAAATAGACTTTTTGGGGATCATTAGTGCACGTCCAGTGGCATATATATTACATGCATGTCGGAACAGGAAATTTGGCATAAGGTACTTTCAGAACCATGTTCACATTATTATACATTATACCCAACAATTGTGATGATGACGAATTTCTTCAACTGTTCGAGAACATTCTAATTGATTCTTCTTCTTCTTCTTTTGGTATACAATATTCCATCGACATCCGATGATTACATACTGTTCGCATACGTGGACTATTTACAAATTTGTTACCCCCAATTTAAACAAAATGTATGTTTCTTTCTTATATTCAATATACATGTATATATTTTAAATTGCGACTATCTATAGTTCCGTAACTTTCTATCCAGGCGTATAAACCAATGATCGACAAGTGCGTACATTTTTGTTAAATCAATATTTCTTGTATGTTTCAAAATGTCCTTCATTATTGACAACGAGTATATACTTACATTTTCCCCAATTTACCCTTGGAAAAAATATGTAAATAGATTTTTATTTTATCAAATCTTTTTTTGGAATTATTTAGATTTTCATAAATAATATTCTTTACACCAGAAATGTTATTTATAAATAAGCGTATGAGTTTAGTAATGACTAGTATATCACTATCGGACACGCAAGACAGAAATGTATATTATACACCTGATAGTTCAAAATGGAAAGTTACAAGTTATCGGCCGTGTACACTGATCAATACCCTCAGAAGTGAAATGATGCATGAACTTGCAAGCCCGACAGGAAATCGCTTGAATACCTGGACGTGTCATCTCACAATACCTTTGGGAGTAATACCTTTAGCCATGCTGGTGATCAGATAAGGGAAGGTCCAAAATTTATTTAAATAAGTTTATTACATAAAAAAATTATGAACATATTTGATTTTCGAAAACAATTTACACGGAACACTTATTTATGACTTTGAACTTTGACTTTTTAACTAATTCCCATATAAACAGTTTAAAAACGACAGACCATGGTTATTTAAAAAATAATTACATTTTCCGTATCAAGTTTGTTAGTCGGATAAAACAACCGTACGATTGACAAGATATCAACACGCAATTACGACTACATTAGGTTACTGTTGGTTTTGGTCCTTTGTGGTTTATAGATATATCGTGGTTTCTAAACCGAGAAAATGTCAAAATGGCCGCACGCAGAGAATTGATACTCTAAATTTAAAATCGATGGTGATCTCTTATCTAGCAGAATAAAACTTTAATATTTATGAATTTGAGCTTTTTTATACAGAATGGACATAATATCAATTTTTCATTTTTTTGCGAAGTTTCCCTTTAAAGATAAAGGTTTTACTTAAAGTATCACATAAACTTAACATTTTTAATACACCTTACAATTTTTTAATACACCAAATATAGTTGACCTATTGCTTTATATGGTAATTAAAAAACAGACCAAAACACAAATACCAAAAAAAAAGGTCAGATTATACCTTCTAGACAGACATGTACACCTTACAATTATTCCATACACCACATATAGTTGACCTTATCATTTAACTTTAACCTTAATCACTGATCCATGTAATGAGGTTGAGGTCAGGTGAATCCTGTCTGACGGACAAATATAGCTGACCTATTGCTATTAGTTATAGTATTGTAAAAACAGACCACAACACAAAACTTAACCATAAAAATGAGTTAAAGATCAGATGAATCGATGAGATGATACCTGCCAGATAGACATGTGCACCTCACAATCATTCCATACATCAAATATAGTTGACCTGTTGCTTACAGTACTTGAAAAACAGACCAAAACACAAAAACTTAACATTGACCATGGAACCATGAAAATGAGGTCAAGGTGAGATGAAACCTGACAGACTGGCATCTTTTAACTACAATCATTCCATACACCACATATAGTTGACATACTGCTTCTAGTATTCGAGAAACAGACCTTATCATGTAACTTTAACCTTGATCAATGATCCATGAAATGAGGTCGAGGTCAAGTGAACCCTGTCTGACAGACGTGTAGACGTTGCAAAGAACACATATACCAAATATAATTATCCTACTACCTATAATAAGTGAGAAATTCACATGACAAAAAAAGATTTTTTTTTTCAAGCAGTCACTGAACCATGAAAATGAGGTCAAGGACAATGGAAAAATGACAGACAGACTTCATAACATAAGGTATCTGCATACAAGATATGATGAGCATCCAGGTCTTCTACCTTCTGAAATATAAAAGCTTTATACAAATAGTTTACATCGCTGCCGCCAGATAGTATTTAACAGTGTTCTCCCCAGGGCCTTTTAGCATTAAAGTAATGTGATGCTATATTTCTTGAATGTGATGCTATCTGAATTGATTTTCTTATATGTTGTGTTATGGATGAGATGTTATGATTTTTAGAAACAATATGGTATCTCAAATTTCCCTGTTTACCAGGATGCTATATGAAATATCTGGGGAGAACACTGAGTAATACCTATGTCTCGTAAACTATGACTTTCGTCGCAGGCGAGATAATAATAAACTATTAACACAGAGAGATATGTCTTGCCTTTTTGTAATTTTGATAATGCAAATGTTGAAATTAAAATAGCAATACTTTAACATGTAAGTTAAGCAAATATTCAAAGTCAATGAACCATGACTGAAGGTACATGGCTAAACAATCTTCATGGAAATAAGATGTGCCAATGCTAATACAACTGCATACCAAATACCATTGACTTATCATAAGTCATTCACTTTAAACAAACCTAAACACAAACATTAACTTGTAAACTATGTAAACGTTTCAAAGTCAATGAACCATGATGAGGGGGTAGGGCTATATAATCTCCATGGAAATGAGACTTGCAATTGCCAAGAAATTTGTATACCAAATACCATTGATTTAACATTAGCTGTTCATCTTAAACTTATCTAATCACAAACTAATACATGTAAATTAAGCAAAAGTTTCAAATTCAATAGACTATGACTGAGGGGGCAGGGCCAAATATTCTCAATGGAAATGAGATGTGCTAATGCTTATACAACTGCATACCACTTAACATTGTCTTACCACTAATGGTTCCCTTTGAACTAACTTATCACAAACTATTACATGTAAACTAAGCAAAGTTTCAAACTCAATAGACCATGACTGAGGGGGTGGAGCCAATTTATCTCCATGGAAATGAGATATGCCAATGCTTATACAACTGCATAACAAATATCATTGACCTACAACTAGTGGTTCCCCATAAACTGACCTACAGTCAGAGCTCTGACATAAACAAGTCAGAATTTTGTGACTTGTGAAAGTCAGAATATTTGGTGTCATGAGTTACCTCCCATCATTTTTAAACAAAAACTGACTTAACTACAAGTCAGATGAAATATTAGGCAATTTTTTCCTCATAACAAAAATTTTAAAAAATTGACTTCTACAAGTCAGAAATACAACTAAACTGTCAACCTTTTTGGCTCATGCACCCATATTTAAAAGTTGAGCATCCACATGACAATGTTAAAAATGCCTTCCACAAACACTTTTTTATCAACAAAAAATATTAATAAGACCCTAAAAAAAAACGGAAACATATGAAATTAACAATTTAATGCAAGTATGTATTTGTGATAAATTGTAAAACAAATTCTGTACAAAACTACAAACAATGGATTTACTTGAAAACCAGCATGAAAGGATAAATTTGCTACAAACCTTACATACTGAAACTTCACAATTCACTGAACAGAATTTGACCTGAATAAGTCAGGCATATTCTGACTTAATACAGTCTAAAAAGCTATTACTCCTTTGTAAAAATGCATAATCTGACTTGCACAAGTCTTGACAATTCTGACTTGTTTATGTCAGAGCTCTGACTACCTAATCACAAACTAATACATGTAAACTAAGCAAAAGTTTCAAAGTCAATAGACCATAACTGAGGGGGCAGGGCCAAATAATCTCCATGGGAATGAGATGTGCCAATGCTAATACAACTGCATACCAAATATAATTGACCTACCACTAGTGGTTCACTATAAACTAGACCTAATCACAAACTAATACATTGTTGACGCTGTGTCGTCCGACGTCGGAAACAGCATTCTATGTCTCGCTTTTTGAAAAAAACTGAAGTTTGCTACATAAATTTTCGATTGTACCTTTGTTCCAATGCACAACATTCCAATTACACCTGGGAAAAAGATGGAGAATTCACTTTCAAATAATATATCTGCTCCTATCTGTCCTAATACTTTATCAGACAATAAATGAATATCTATTTTTCCATCTCCAATTGATACTGTGTTTTCTTTTGCAATCTGAAATTGATGATGTATGATTATTTATGAAGAAAGAACTGAAAAGGACTGCTATTCTGAGGAGGATGTACTCACACAGCACTCAGAATCTGATATACCCCTCTAAATCTTTCCTTTTTCATAGGTTGTTCTCTTTATCAATGTTAATTCAGTATCTCATGTTTTAGTCTTTAAAAAGTAGAGTGGCTCTAATACAGCTTATTCTGCATCAGTCATAAAAAAATGCTGTGTTATCTAGCTACTGATTTAAAAAAAAATCGTTTTTTAAAAGTTTGAAATCAATAACAAATATGAAAATAAGATGTGGTATGATTGCCAACAAGATTACTATATATCCATTAAAGACAAGTTCAAGGCACAATATAATAGAATGCTCCCATGGGCGCAGCTTGATACGACCGCATGGTTGAACCCAGAACCGTTGGGGCAAGTATGGACACAACATTCAAGCTTGATACAGCACTGAATTAGAATTGTGATTAAATATTTGACACAGCACAGGTTTCTGACACAGAATAAATGTGGTCTAAGTACTTAAAAATTTTTAATTCACCTATTCAAACCATATCATTATTATTTGCTTTTATATATAAATCAGAAATAACCAATTTGAAATGGAAAATTTTAAAGAAAAAAAAATCCCCCCCCCCCCCCCCCCCCCAATTTTTTGAACCCCCTTATGATTCATCACCCCCAAACTCAATCCCAGCCTTCCCTTTGTGGTATGGTACCTGCAGTTCAATTTCAGAGAGATCCATACACTTGTACACAAGTTATTGTCTGGAAACTAGAAAAATGCTTGTTTTTTGGCCCCAAATTCCTAAACGTTTAGGGCAATTACCCCCAAACTCAAACCCAGCTTTCCCTTTGTGATATGGAACCTTGTAGTACAATTTCAGAAAGATCCATACACTTACACACAAGTTATTGTCCTGAAACTAGAAAAATGCTTGTTTTTTGCCCCTTTTTTGGCCCCTATAATTCCTAAAATTTTGGAAGCAATTACCCCCAAAATCCATCCCAGCATTCCCTGTGTGATATGGAACCTTGTGGTACAATGTCAGAGAGATCCATACACTAACACACAAGTTATGTCTGGAAGTTACAAAAATGCTTATTTTTGGCCCCTTTTTGGCCCCTAATTCCTTAACTGTTGGTACCATAACCCCCAAAATCAATCCCAACCTTCCTTTTGTGGTATTGAACCTTATGGTAAAATTTCTTAGAGATCCATTCACTTAAACTAAAGTTAGAGTGCGAAAACCAATGTGTCTTCGGACGACGACGACAACACCAACGTCATACCAATATACGACCGCAAAAATTTTTTGCAGTCGTATAAAAACTTTATTCAATCGAAATCTTTATCTAAAGTTGGCTTGTCACAAAATGATAACATAATCTCTGTGAGCTTTTATTTACAAAGGTGTCAACAATTGCAGGGGACCATACAGCTTCCGACAATGAGCAAAACAAAAACTGTAACCTACTTTATAAATTGGACTTACCTCTGTTACCATAACTACACAACATGTAGGTGGACTATAACCTACAGGTGAAGGATGGCATGTAAATCTAACGTCTGCTTCACATTCAACTGTTTCTCCATTTATCTTCATCTTTCTTTTACAGAGATCTCCTGGTCTAGAAAAAAATAAATTTAAGTCAATATTTCAATATTTCAGAGATCATTACAACTACTGGTTTATCAGTAATTTTTTTATACAGCTTAGCTTTTTGTGCCTAATTATAATGTCTAATTGCTTTTATAGTTTCAGAGTTAGATATTCTAGAAATAGTTTAGGGAGGAGAGAAGGCAAGTGAAAACAAAAACTTGTTTTTGCCATTGGCCAAGTGATCTACAAATATTGGTGCTTGGACCATTACACCATTCTCCTTGCCATGAAATTAAACTGTTTACACAAAGATATGTCACGTCTGTTTGAATTTCAATAGTAAGATGTAAATGTTCAAATTAAAATAGCAATAGTTTAACATGTAAATTATGCAAACATTCAAAGTCAATGAACCATGACTGAAGGTCCAGGGCCAAATAATTTACGTGAAAATAAAATATGCCAATGCCAATATGTGGTTCCCCTTAAACTGACCTAATCACAAACTTTAATCATGTTAACTATGCAAATGTTTCAAAGTCAACAGGCAGATTCCATATAAGAAGTTGAAATGTCTGTCAAAATGAATAAATAAATAAAAATAATAGTTACTGTTATTTTAAAGATAATCTGTGAATGTTTTGAAGAATAATGATGTTAGAAGAAATTGTAAAAATAATTTTTGGATATGATTGTTTCCGTTTAAAGTAGAAATGATTAAAACAAGTTGAAAAAATGCAAAAATTTTGACAGAATTAACTCCCATTTTTTTACACAATGTTTATGTGTTGCTATGCTTTATGTTGACACTTGTATACTGGTATTTACTAGTGTAGTCTGGTTATTCAAACATCCCTGTTCCCAAATTTGTTACTTTTTTTAGTCAAAAACATCTGTGATATATATTTTTTTTCACTTTCAAATATCTTGCTTTATAGCTCAGTGTCTGTCAATAAATCTTATGTCAGGAACATCGCTGTAAAAACTTTCAAAATCATTGTAGGTTCCAATATATGCCAGTTAAAACTGTAAGTCACGCTGTGCATAAGAAAAAACACATGTTGATTCTTTCATTTAACTTTATTCAAGCAATAGATTTAACTTATATGTTTCCTACATAAGATCTGTCAAACTTGTTTTCTTATGTCTGAAACATTTGAATGTGCTAACAGTTAAAGTTCTTTGACCTGTAGTGAAATCTTGTTAGATGTTAGGCTGCAGTATTTTCCAGGAGTTTTAAAAATGACTTTCAACTAGGATTTGATTTCCAATGTCAGTCAAAAAAAACAAATATATATTGTCTGTCAAAATATCTTATGTATGAAAAATCTTATGTCAGAATAAAGTCTGTCAAAATCTTATGTCAGAAACTCAATTTGTCTGTCAAATCTTATGTCAGAAATAATAAAGTCTGTCAAATCTTATGTCAGAAATAATAAAGTCTGTCAAATCTTATGTCAGAAAAAATAAAGTCTGTCAAATCTTATGTCAGAAACACTAAAGTCTGTCAAATCTTATGTCAGAAACAATAAAGTCTGTCAAATCTTATGTCAGAAACATAATATTTAAGGCTTCGTTTTTTTTAAAAGGATGATGCTCATAATTTTTTTTTTGGTCAAATTGTCTTTATCTTTATTAGTAAAGCATGTATTCAAAAACAGAAGTTCATTGCTTATGATTTTTGCCTAACATGCTTATGGGAGTTGTTTCACTTTCTTATATGGAATCTGCCAACAGACCATGACTGACGGGGCAAGGCCAAATAATCTCTTAGTCTGTGATAATGATATGTGCCAAAGCTTAAGCAGCTGCATACCAAATATCGTTGATTTACCATTAGTGGTTCGACTTAAACTGACCTTATCACAAACTTTAACAAATTATTGACCCCTCCCTGGCCACGGGAACAACATACCTAAGTCTTGCTTTTTGTCTCTGTCAAGGCGACACTAATAACTAGATATGTCGAAACGACACGAATGGCCCTATCTCAAAAAGATGAAAAAATCTGCAATTTCACAACACATGTGGACACAAACATGCATGGATAGTATCCAGCTCTCAAGACCAATACTAGTTTGATGAAAAATTTCCTTGATAAATGAGTAGTTAAATTTCAAACTATCAGCAAACAGGAAGTGGATGTACTGCAGATCTAACAAGATGTGTTGAGCGACATGAAAATCAGCATAGCGGAACGAAACATAAACTTGATCTGTAACTCATCATGGTAGACTCACATATCAAAAATCAGCACAAAAACTGAAGGCGTATACAAAAAAAGTCCGTATGACTGTGATTTTCAACAATTTTCAAAGTCCAAAACCCGTAATTTCGGCAAAAATCAGCAGAGTGGAACGAAACTTAAACTTGATCTGTAACACATCATGGTTAACTCACATACCAAAAGTTAGCCCAATATCTGAAGGCGTTTAGAAAAAAAGTCCGGATAACTGTGATTTTCAACAATTATCAAAGTCCAAAGTTCATAATTTCAGCAAAAATTAGCAGAGCGGAACGAAACTTAAACTTGATCTGTAACTCGTCATGGTTAAGGAACATACCAAAAATCAGCCCAATTTCTGAAGGCGTTTAGAAAAAAATTGCGTATAATGGTTTGTTGCGGAATGACGGAATGAAGGAATGACTGAATGACAGAATGAAGGAATGACTGAATGACTGACAAGGGTAAAACTATATGGCCCCGACAACTTTGTTGCGGGGCCATAAAAATGCTTTTCAACTGGTTCAATGATCAATGAGCATGAGATCAATAAATATGTGCATATATGTCAGAGAAGAATATATCCATTTGGGTTCAATAATTACAATTTACATGTACACTTCACAATAACTAAATTCAAATTGGATTTTCAAAATATACAATACTCACTGAGGTTTTAAAAGGAATATTTCTGAAAATTTAGTAAAAAGCCATTGGAAATCTTCTTTTCCTACATCATCATACTTCTTTGATAGAAACATAGGTAGACTAAACTGTAAAAACTCAAGTGCACTGCTATAGTACTGGTAAATACATCTAAAACAAACAAAATAGACAAATATAAAAATAAGATGTGGTATGATTGCCAAAGAGACAACTATCTACATGTACCATTACCCCAACTGAAAGCTGTTATAGCAGTCATATTTATTATGAATTATCTTTAATTTTTTACCGGTGTTACCTGTAAAACGAATGAGCACAAATGTAACCAAAAGTTGCGTGCAAATGTAAAAATTTTTAATCTCCAAACATGCCAAATGTGCGCAAATGTAAAATTTTTTAATCTCCAAACATGCCAAATGCACGCAAATGTAATGCGCCCAATTGAGAGGGTCTGGATGGGGGATCTCCTTTATTCTTTCATTTTTTAGGCCATTATTCTCAATTCTTTATTTTTATGCCTATTTTCCTCTATTCTGATTTTTTGCCTCATTTTTCTGTAGTATTTGTCCATTATTTTCTATTCTTGAAACCTCATCCAGGCCCTCATTTTCTATTGATGACTAATTGATAATCTTTGTTAAAGTGGCATTTACTTAGCTAAGAGTTTGACAAAATAAGTTGAAATAATCACAGAATGTTTACTCAATGGTCTCAAACATGTACAAGAACAGAATATTGAAAAGGAGACTTTTTTCGCAGATACCATATTTTCATGTTTAGCCCTTTATAGCCGATTTTACAATTTTCATATTTTGTTGGTGGATTTATATAAGAAAAGCACCAAGTTTAACATATTAACATTATTTTCCAACTCACAAAAATCGCAAAAATAAATCACTCATGAAAATTAGTTGGTATAGTCAGTTTTACCTTTTATCAATATCTGGCAATATCATTAAAGCAAGACAAAAAATGTTGACAAGCTCTCTTTGCTTCATTAATAGCCTCTGCACGCTCTATGTGACTTTTGTAAGTGTAACCATCACAATCTTCCAATGAAAAGTTAAATTTTTCCTTTGTCAAAAGTACTAAGGTTTTTACTATCTCTGGCAAATCATTCAGGCAAATTTTAGGAATTATTGTCCTTTTTTCTCCAATAGTTGAGGGTAAAGTAAAAATGTTGCATATTGGGGAACTGTTTATATCGTAATATATTCCACAACCTTCTTCAAAGTCTGACTTTGTCCAATTTACACTGAATGATCTTAATTCAGATTGTTCTGGTTTACTTATCAAAGATTTCTCTTCGAAGGAAGAAGATGAGGAAAATGATCTTGATGGAGAACATCTATTTCTTGATGCTTCATCCCCATGGTAACTTGGAGAACTTCGTCTACGCTTTGCACCTTGCTTTCTTGAGTTGTCCATATTTTTCTGCAAGAATAAATTACTAAAATAAAAAGAAAATGTGCCAATAGGCAATTTTAAAATTTCATAAATGACAGAAATAAAAATGTGGAGATTGATCGAATGCCTTCATGTTATCACGTCACAGCAAGAGATAAGTTTTTAGATTTTAATGACCTCTTTTATGCAGATTATGCCCTGGTCAACCACCATAACTCATTCTTAAATAAACTGCTAACACAGATATATGTCTCGCCTATTTGTTATTTTGATAATGCAAATGTTGAAATTAGAATAGCAATACTTTAACATGTAAGTTATGCAAATATTCAAAGTCAATGAATCATGACTAAAGGTACAGGGCTAGACAATCTCCATGGAAATGAAATGTGCCAATCCTAATACAACTGCATACCAAATACCATTGACTTTTCATAAGTCGTTCCCTTTAAACAAACCTAAACACAAACATTAACTTGTAAACTAATAGGTAATAAGTTTCAAAGTCAATGAACCATAAAGAGGGGGTGGGGTTATATAATCTCCATGGAAATGAAACTTGCAAATGCCAATACATTTGCATACCAAATATCATTGACTTAACATTAGTGGTTCATCTTAAACTGCCCATTATCACAAACATAATACATGAAAACTAAGCAAGTAATAAGTTTCAAAGTCAATAGACCATGACTGAGGGGGCGGGGCCAAATAATCTCCATGGAAATGAGATATGCCAATGCTTATACAACTGCATACCAAATATCATTGACCTACCACTAGTGGTGCCCCATAAACTGACCTAATCACAAACTAATACTTGCAAACTAAGCAAAGTTTCAAAGTCAATAGACCATGAGTGAGGGGGCGGGGCCAAATAATCTCCATTGTAATGAGATGTGCCCATGCTAATACAACTGCATACCAAATACCATTGACCTACCACTAGTGGTTCACCATAAACTAGACCTAATCACAAACTAATACATTGTTGACGCCGACGACACCGGAAATAGCATACCTATGTCTCGCTTTTTGACTCTGTCAAGGCGAGGCAAAAAGGACATGAAATAAAAGATTAGCTTTCCAATGTCCCCCATGTTTCACATATTTTATCTGCCCAAGGGCAATAACTAAAATATATTTTCTTTTAACATTACATCTTACAAGAAATGTAGCCATGAGAATGCAAACAATATCATTTTCCATAAATTTCTTTTTCCAAGGAGTATAACAGTAGACAAAATGGTAGAAGTTGAAGAACACCTTTAAAGTGGTTGGTTGGCACTCTTCCAAAACCTTGCTGATGCCTGTGATATAAACTTTAAAAACCTTGCTGATATCTATACGCCTTTGATTAAACTTGATAAAAAGACATACAATGTAGATGTGAGAGCGCTTACAAAACAATGTTCAATATATATAGATTACTGATCTTTTTTTACACCCTACATTTCTTGAAATTACTCCTGAAAAAATAATTAGTTAATAGATAAGTACTGATTTTCAAACTCACCCAAGACATCACTGATATAAACTTAATAGACCACTTTCGTGTTGTGTCTTTCACCAGAAAAGTTCGTCAATTATGCGTGCCTTTCTGACGTCATTTACCAGATAGAGCCCGGGATCGCCTGTATAAACGTATTTACACTGTTGGTATTTAGCTATATTTTGCCTCCGAATGACCTTAGATCTACTCCGAATAACCTTTTGACGTCAGGCAACAATCACTTTTTAATTGTGACGTCAAATGTTTTGAATTATGATGTCAAAGTTTACGGGAACCTGTGTGATTTTACGTAATGGCGGACAAATTTGCACACAAGTGTAAATACGTCTATTCCTGCACTATATTATAAGTTAATACTCTATCAATAAATAGATAGAAAAAAAAATGAAACATAGATCCAGAGACATAATTTATTGTATTATATGTCTCTGATAGATCTAATTGCTACATTCATTTGTGATATTTTATTATTTATTATGTATAACAGCAAGTATTACGTTTACCCTGTCGTATTATGATATCAATTTTACTTGTGTTTTAGAACAATAGCACTATATAATAAACTTGCAAAATGCATTATTTGTGCATCATTGTCCAGAAAATACAGACACAAATTGTGAAATACAAAGAACTGAAATCAAATAAGAGGAAAACATAAATGTGAATGTTTTTCATCATTTTATTTTGTGTATTGCCTCATTTAACGATATTTATCATGTTAACTTTATGAATAGTTTAATGTTGATTGAAGATTAAAGGAAATTAATGACAATCTTGAGTTTTCAACAGGTGTTCACTATTTACAATGATTGTATATTCTGGCGCGTGTAATTGTATAGTCTGACGCGTGTACAAAGTTGAAGGTGTTAAAGGACTTATCATTTTTTATCTGGGAGGGGGGGAGGGGCTGGTCAAAATGCAGGGGGGATCAAGTTTTTTTCTGTATGTGGAAAAGGGCGGTTTAATTTTTTTTATAAATTCAATGTGGGGGGATCAATATTTTTTGCACATAGAAATAAGTAGTTCACATACTTCAACGGAGACAAAATGTCAAGAGGAACATTACAACAGTCAAATCGAAATATATTTTTAACACCATTCATATACAATTAAGTAAGACATCACTATCAAACATTTATGAATGCAATGTGACAATAATTGAGTAATTGAATTGTTCAAGCTGTAAGCATAAACTATCCATATAAAAGTTTAGCGACTCAATGGAGGTTTCAATAAGGCCTTACGTAAAACATAAGTTTAAGTAGCGTTCAAGAGAGGGACATATAATAGATCCCTCTAAGTAAATAATGTGTTGTTACTGTTTCAAAAAGTTTACTTTTTAATGTATATTTTTTACAGAGTTACTTAGGATAAAGTTTTCTTTAATAGCCCAATATAGGAAATTAGAAAAAAAAGTCAGAAAAAGCTATTCAAACACTCAAATGTGTTTTTGGACTCAATACACTGAGAATATTTCATTTTCATTATTTTCGTGAAATAACATGATACGTGTTTTGCATGTTAAAATTTTGGCATGTTTATTAGAGGGGGATCACAATTTTTAAATGTTTTTACGGGGGGGATCAAATAAAAATAGTGAAATATTATGGGGGGATCAAGAAATTTTGTATGTTTCATTTCAAAATGACCAGCCCCCCCTCCCAGGTAAACAATGATAAGTCCCTAATTAGATGTTATTGTAGCAATAAAACAAGGGACATGCGCCTCTTTAATCTCATTTGATGTTTCACGTTGTGTGTACTGTTATAACGTTAGGGTGAAGCCACATCTAATGTTGTTGAACTATCAAGAACAATGAATTGTACTGTTAGAAAGGAAATAATATTTCATGTTTTTGCGTGTGCATTTCCTTTGCTCTAACACTGAAGCTGACTGAAGCCATTCAACTTTTATGTTTTGTATAAAGTAAATTAAATACGCTTAAATAATAAATATGGAAAAGCGTGGCTTAGAGTTCTACAAATAAAGCATCTTAAAAAATTGGCAAACCCCCATGTACATAGTGTATAACGATTGTGTTGAATGTAAACACGCTTACAATATAACAAAGCGTATATCTGGGACTACACAATCCCTTTCTTCCTCACAAATATTTAATCTCTTCATCTATCAATATAATAAAAAAGCTGCACAATCCCTTTCTTCCTCACAAATGTTTAATTTCTTCATCTATTAATATAATAAAAAAAATATCAATTTATTCCT